CCCCACAGCATTGCTCCTGGGGTTTCTACCTGTCTATGCCCAAAGGAGATCTTACTGGATGCTGTGGAAGGAAATTCATTCACACTGGCCAGGCCAGTGCTGTCATAGACTCCCAGAGGTTTGTCTGTTTAGGGGAGAGCATGCGAGATGTGTGGAACCAGGTGGTCTGCAGTGCAGATGTGGTGAATTGAAAACCAGACCGTAGCTGCTACAGTGCTAGAGTCTTTTCTATGGGGCAGGCAGAGGTTGTTTTACTTATCTTTGCTTTCCCAGTTATGTCAGAAGCCTCTTTTCTTTTTTTTGCTTTGCTTTTTCCTATTGCAATTCATTTATTCTAAAACCTCAAGAATAAATCCTGAAGGAAGAGGAGACGATTTTTTTTCCATGGCTGAATCAGTTGATATACCCTGCCAGGTCCTATGCTCTTTGCTGGTAATGTTACATTTGAGACCAAAAATCCCCTCAAGGCTCAAAGTCACTTTGGCCCAGCAGCATACATCAGCCCCAGAACACAAAGGGCTATAATGGAAGGAGAAGCAATTTGTGTGTATATGTTTTCAGACATCATACATTCAGAGACTTATAATGTCCAAAGGGAAGAGTGAGAGAATTAAATACCAATGAGCAGAGATAGATGAGCCCTTCGCAAGTCAGTTTTCAACACAACACAGTATAATACAAACTACCATGAGCTTTTGAAAATTCATTGAAAACAGAAAGAAACCACCTTTGTTCCTTAGTGCTGAGTATTACTTAAACTCACACCTCTCTTAAGCACACATTTGATTAAATCTTCATCCAGCCTGATCTTCCTGCAGGGATCTTAAAAAAGCCTGTAAAATCTCTAGTGACATAACCTTATACATGACAGCCTGGGTTGTGCAGAGTTCGAAGTTTTCCGTACAAGCTTGCAAAATGGGTTGATCAAGCTTTCTGAGTATCTGTCCTGTTGTTCCTGTTGATTTTTTTTTTTTTTCATTCATCCTGGCAAACCAAAGCTTTGCTATCAGAAATGTATGTACCACACCTGTGACAGTGGGAGCACAGGATTTGTACCCAAGGTTTGAAATTGGACTCTAGTTTCCCACCCGATATTGCGTGGTGATGAGCAGGGCTGACTGTATTGCATGAGACTGTTCCAGGTCATCTGGGGACTGTACAGGAACTGGTGGAATAAAGCCCTGGGTTGCACTACAATTGGGATCCCTGAAGCAAAAACCCACTTTTTTGCTTTATTTATGTACTTGTCCCTGCTTGTCCCCGTTTTTGTTCAATAAGCAGAGCACACAGTCCACAGTCTTTCCTCTAAGTCCTTTACTATAGTAACACTGTGTTCACGCCAGCAACCCTCAGATCATGGTAACCTTTTTGGACCGTAGAAATGAATCATTCCTAGTGTGTGTGCACACATTCTGATGATGCTGCATTATCAGGAGACCTTTGTGACTGCATATTGCTCACACAGCAAAGCTGTCAGGGGCTTGGTGCTCTTACAGGCCTTCTCCTGAGCCCTCCAGTCCATTACCGACCCACACAAATAGTATCATATGGCCGCCCCAAAGAGGCATGGACACAAAAGAAAACCAGAGAGTCTGAATAAGGACATGTATTAAGCTCCGCAGGAAGACAAATTTTTGAAAACGTACTGTATATCATTAATATTATTAATAGTAACTTTGAAGTCACCAGAATCTTACCAGAATCCTAATCAGACAATATACTTTGCACAACATGGTGTATGTCAAAGGGGCAAGTACAAATTAGGTAAATTTATCTCCATTGCTCATGAGGTGAGCTTTAGGTGTGGGATTTGGCAATACAAATGATGACTAAAATCGTATGCTACTGAACTGCATCAAACACTGTCCTATCTTGACATAAACAAATAAAGAAAATCCAATGAGCCTGTGCATATAAGGCAGCTTGAGCACACTGGAGGGCATATTTTCATTATTGTTCCACAAAGATTTTAAATAATACTTAATAAATGATTTATGTGTAAGTTACAGGAGAATCAGCATTCACGGCGAGGGATTCAGCAGAGCTGCATGGTTCAGGCAGATTTTTCCTCAATCAAAAAACCTGAGGCTGGTATCAAAGATATGTTTTCTGTCTATATCTCAGGTGTCTTTGGAGTATGGATTACCTGGAAATAACTCATAAGCTGAATTTGATAGACTATGTTGTGTGACACTTAACCTCTGTAATTGTTTTAAACAAACAGTGGCTCAACAGGAGATTCCCTGGTAGTCTCTACCCTCTGGATAGCCGTATTTCAGCCAAGTGGTTTGGAGTAGTTTTCTTCTTCTACCCCAGATGGTCTTGCATGCTGTATTAAAGCATATGCTGCCCTGAAAGTAAAATGACCTATATAACTGCTGATCTTGAAATAGGGTGCAAAGCATAGAAAAGGGAGAAGTGGGTTTGATGCCATTGTTTTTCAGTAATTAATCACACTAGGGAGCTCAAAACAAGAAAGAAGTTATTGGTGGTTAGGTCCACACTGTCTGTTGAGATCTGCCTCGAGTACTAACTCACCAACCTATACCATGACTTTTCAAGTGTGGCTATTGGCAGACAGAGCCTCAAAAGCCCATGGGATCTTGTGCGTACAAGTACAGCTGATGATGGTATGTCATGAATCATGTTTGCAGAAATTGTCCCACAAGGCACCGGAGCTTACAGGGCAGACAAAAGACGGTACCCTCAGTTTATAGCTACTTCTGAAGAGTTTTTTCACAAAAAAACCCAGAAACAGCCATGTGATTTCCCTTTTTAAAGCCAGATCTTGCTGGTCTTACTTAGCCTACAGTATCTCCACAACAGAGTTGTACCATGCAACCCCAACCAGAATAACGTCTTATTCTTTAAAATCACCCTTGCTACTTAGAGCTTGAGACAGCAGAGTTTATCTGAATTCACAGCCGACACTTCACTTCCAGTGCTATTTGGCTAATCTTGAGCATGTTGCTCACACTGGCACCTTTGGCTGCAGACCTCCAAAAGGACACCCCTGTTCCTGGTCCACCCCACCGTGCTGAGGAGCCCATGTTTGAAGGGCCATGGGGAGCTGGGACTGCACAGCATGGACTCAGGCAGCAGCAGGATGACTCCTAGAAATAGATCCTGGACTGGAGTGAAGATAAGGGTGGGAATTCCCCGGGTGGATAACACAAATGGAAATGCTGGAGGCTACTTCTGAGGCTCTTCATCTTGCACTGTGGGCTTATCCTGAATTTCCTCACCCCTTGCCTGGAGAGAGTAGAAATGTGTTAAGTTTTCAAACCCAAGCATAAACATGCTGGAGCTGGAGAGGGTCTGAATCATGGCTAGGGATGCTGTGACATAAAGAACACAGCCGGAGATCTGTTGCTGCAACAGGCAAAGAGCCAGATGGAGGTGAAGTCTTCTGGCTGGGGCAATTACTCTCTACTTTTTAGCTTGACTTGTCACACCAATGGGCCGAGGCCAACTGTAGGAGGTTCAACAAGGCCAAGTTCTGGGTCGTGCAATTCGGTCACAACAACCCCATGCAACGCTACAGGTGTGGGGAAGAGTGGTGGGAAAGCTGCCCAGAGGAAAAAGACCTAGGGGTACTGGTTGACAGCTGGCTGAATATGAGCCAGCAGTGTGCCCAGGTGGCCAAGAAGGCCAATGGCATCCTGGCTTGTATAAGGAATAGCGTGGCCAGCAGGAGTAGGGAAGTGATTGTGCCGCTGTACTCTGCACTGGTGTGGCCACACCTCAAATACTGTGTTCAGTTTTGGGCCCGTCACTCCAAGAAGGACATGTGAAGGGCTGGAGCATGTCCAGAGAAGGTCAAGGAAGCTGGTGAAGGGTCTGTAGCACAAGGGTGATGGGGAGCAGCTGAGGGACCTGGGGTTGTTTAGTCAGGAGAAGAGGAGGCTGAGGGGAGACTTTGTCACTCTCTACAACTGCCTGACAGGAGCAAGTAGCCAGGTGGGTGTTGGTTTCTTCTCCCGAGTAACAAGCGATAAGATGTGAGGAAATGGCCTCAAGTTGCACCAGGGGAGGGTTAGATTGGCTATAAGGAAAATTTTCTTCACCAAAAGGGTTGTCAAGCATTGGAATGGGCTGCCCAGGGGAGTGGTGAAGTCCCCATCCCTGGAGGTGTTGAAAAGACTGACAGAGGAGGTGCTTGGGGACATGGCTTAGTGATGGACTTAGCAGTGCTAGGTTAATGGTTGGACTCGATGACCTTAAAGGTCTTTTCTACCTAAACAATTCTATGATTCACCTTTGCTATATCTCATGCCACTACTGCTCTCACTAACAGCAAGGATCCTTGAGAGTTCACACCGCCTCTCTAAGCAAGCAAATACAATGGCACACCCAAAATAAAAAAAAAAAAAAAAAAAAAAAGGCACACAGACACCTGCTGTGAGTTTATTTTGACAAGTGTCATTTAGCTGCAATAAGCTGTGATCATGTCTCTGGTGTGGCTGCAAACAGAAAGGAGCCAACTGGGTAAACAAACCCAGGTGCTCAAGAGCAGAGCACGGCTCCTTCCGCTGGGTTGGGGGGCTAGCAGACAGAGGGGGGAATGGGGAGCTCTGAGGATGCCCTTCGCCGGGGGCTGTCTTTCCCCTCTCCACCCAGCCTGGAGGTGCAGGAGGGACCAGCGGTGTTCCCACGGCGGATGCGTTGCTGTCCCTGCAAGGGATGCTCTCGAGAGGAGGGGATGCAGAGGAGGGGGATGCGTGCTGTGTGGGGGACCGCAGGAGAGGAGAGGGAGGCGTGTGCCTGCCTGGAAAGGGGCATTTCTTCCCTCAGACACACAAGCCGATGCCTACCCTGCTGAAGCAGTTAAACGGGGGAGAGCAGCAGCCAGGCTGGCAGATTTCTGCCCTGTGATATGGCGCCCGCCCAGACCCCAGCGCGGCCGCAGCACCATCCAGCCCTCGGCGGCCACCGCAGCTTTTTTGGTGGCTCCCGCTGCAGCCTGAGAGCCGGAGACCAGCAGCCGCCTTGCAGGCAGCATGTCAGCCCCGCCGGACCCCCAGGACCTGCTGCTGGGGGGCACTGGGGTGCACTGGGCTGCGGACGGGGCGGACCAGTATGCAGCTGGGGCTCCGCTGCGGGATGGAGATGGGGCTCAGCAGCGGGAACAGCTGGTTTTCGGCTCCGCCAGGGAACACCCGCCCGTTGCCATGGCGACTGCATCCCCAGGTAAAAGGCGAGGGGTACACAGGGATGCTCAACAAAGGGGCCCTGGCAGCAGCATCTCCCGGTTGCCTCGTTCCTGACCCTTCCCCAGTTCTTCTCCCAGCCTGGCTGCTTGGAAACATTACTAATGAGTTAGTGAGCGCATGTAGGAAAACAGAAAATAACGAGCAATTGCGGCCTTTGTGAATAATCAGTTTTGCTGATGTGGGGGAGGGGGGATGCAGGACCCAGCCAAGTTCCCTAAAGCTTTTTGCAGTTTGCTAGGCACAGGACATCCTGATTTCAGTCAAATGCTGGAGGGCATTTGATTTCACCTGACTTGATGGGGCGGCTCTGTCCTCGTTTGTCTTACACCTGTACACATCTGGAGTGACAGATCTCAAAGGAGTTACTTCAGTTATTCTCTGTGCACCTTGAATTCCTGCATGACCCCTTATGTTATTTCAACATGTAGCTTTTCATGGTGTGCCTATTCTGAAGTGTTTGTATATTTTCTGCATGCTTTTGAGACACATTCATTTGATCGTGGACTTTTTGTTTGCTGTGTTTTCCTCCTTTTGCTTTTTTAGGTGTATTTGACTTAAGGTGCATTTAGTTTAGCTAAGGTCTACAGGTTCACTGATTTTCAGTTTACTTTTGGGATGTATTTGGTTTCCCTTGGTTTATGGTTCCTTTCTTTAGTGAGTGTATTAATAGCAGGCATATATATATTAATGAACCTCAGAAGGCTTCAGCTTCCAGTAGCTCCTGGTGGAAATGCTTGGGGAAAAATGACTCTATTTCTTTCTTGGTGACACTTCCCTACTTACTTTCCTATTGCTGCCCATCAGAGAATCTAAATAACCAAAACCCCAGCCCTGGGGAAGCTGGTTGCATCCCATCTAGATTCCTCTTCATTGGGAAGTAGATGTTTCCATTATGCAGCCTGACAACATTAAACTTGTCTGGAGTAAGTTGAGGGTCAGGACTTGGGACGGGAATTGGTCTCTGTTATGCAATAGCTGCAGGAGCATTAGGAACTGCGTTTTTGGGCTGAGTCCTTTCTAATCCCCTCCAGTCAATCAGCACAAAGAGTAGCTGGCCAGAAACAACACAGTCTGCATGACTACGTGTATTATTCCCATATGTATGTTTGTTTCAGAGTCTGAGTGTGCATCTGTGCATCTGTGTGCTCTCAACATGGATGTTTCCCTAGTGCTTTTCTGTCTGCTTGATGCTACTGAGTTCAGTAGTAAAATGGGACCTAATGCCCATCGGCTGATGTGGGAAATGTTTTGCTTTGGGCAGGCAGCAAATCTGCTGATGTGCTGCTCATTCGCTGATCTGAGTGGTAGGTTGTGAAACGTGACTTTTTACTGGAGAGAGAGGCAGATGGCTTGTAATATAAGGCTGTTCTAGGTGTGGGGGGCGTGTGTGTGGAGAGGGGCAGGGCTGGGGTCTCCAGGTAGGGTTGCCTCAACAGTATAATGACATGAAGAAGGGGGAAAGGATCTTGTGAGCTTTTGTTGTGCACCGATGGATAAAAATATGGCCATGCTGAATCTTCGCATACAGAACAAAGAGGGGTGGTCTCTTAAATAGTGCAAATCCCATTAAGTTGAATGACTGTGATACTGCTTACATTTAATGAAGGCTTCTTCAGGCTTAACCTGATCTGTAGATTCAGGCTTATAGAATGCAGAGTAGACAGACAGACAGTCAGACAGAAAGAAAGAAAGAAAGGAAGAGAAAGAAAGAAGGAAAAGGAAAAAGAGAAGGAAAGTAATTTTCAGGTTTTGGAATCCTCTGCAAAGGGGCTTTAGACTTGTTTGTTTGCATGTGTCAAGCTGTGGCAAGGCAGAGATAAAGTGAGCAATACAGACCTTTTTGGTGTTTGCTAGCTGTGGATTAACAGACTGTCAAATTAGCAATATCATAAGAGCAGTAATGTGTTTTAAACATTTCCCATTTTGTTTTTACTGTTTAATAAAGTAACTGTTGTGTAGTTATGTGTGTGCCTAGCCGACCATGGCAGACAGAGCAGCATCCCAACCAGTGCAGTCCTGCGCACGCAGTCTCCTTTTCTGTTTGCAGCTGCAGCACCTGTATTGCTGTTCCACATTACCTAGACTGCTACAGCTCCTGCTCCCTTCACCGGGGGAAGTAAATAATTTCCCTGCTCTCTCTGTGTGACTAAATATTCTTAAGTTGCTGAATAAGAGGTCTGTCATATTGCTGAATGTCTAAAACTGTAAAGTATTTCAGAAAACTCATGCTCAGAGGGGGATTCCTGCATGTTCCTAAGCTGTAGGAATGGACCCAGCGGGAAATACCTAGCTCCAGCAACTTACAACACTGCCATAAACTGTCATAAACTTACAACACTCTCTATACAATGGGGCACCTGGGGACACTTTAGATAAGGAACAGTGCATCCAAACAAGAGTGAACTGAATGGTATGTTTTCCAGGTAGTTTCTTGACATATCCTATATCTTCCTCCACGCCTCTCAGACCAGTCCTTTTTCTGAAAAATGTGGTTATGCTCTTTGAGGCAAGAGCAGGGCTTGGAGATTGAGAGAATCCCCCAGCGTAAAAATACCTGAAAATAAGTGGTGGGAATTTATCACAAGTTATACAGGAGTCTTCTTATACAACCTAAAAATTTGCAAACATTTGCTGATCTTGGCTTTTGTTTTGAGTTTGAAAAACAGCCAGGCATTGTTGAAAGGTTCAGGAATATTTTCAAGCTGGCCGTGGGCCCCGCTTTGAGCCGAACTGGCCTTGTGTCAAAACCTTGTGAGTGGTTTCTGAATGATGAAAAGCAATGGATTTCACTCCCCGTTCTTCAGATCAACCAAGATCGGCAATGATCTGGACTGCAGAAAAAAATTCCCACAAAGAGTAGAAAGCTCAGATTTCTCAAGCAATAAGGAGCTGCAGATCCCACGTCTGCTTCTCCTCCTGCAGAGCTATGATGATCAACTCCAGTAGCTTCTGGGCAGGGACAAAGCAGTTTCTCTTGATTTTATACTTGGCCCCTGGGTTTTGCTGAAAATGTTTCTATCCCTCAAATGGAGAACTTCTCTTCTTCCCAAAGATGAACTGGGTTCAGGTTGAGAGGAGCTTGCAGGCAGCTCTTGCAAGGATTGGAGACTGAAGCAGTCCTGAAAGGCTGGTGAGCAGTTGCATGTTGGTGAAGAGAGCCCTATGTCACCCAACACACCATCTGGTCACAGATTCTGTTATTTATTTTTATACATCAACAGTGATTAAAATTCCTTGAAAAGAATTATTTCCAAAAATATTACACAGGCTACCAGGCATTCCCTGGGATAAATACATATGGTTTCCTTTAGAGAAATGGCAAAGTGTAAGAATGGACTGTACCTCCACAGTGCAGGTGTGTTTAGGGGGGAAAAGGGCAGGAGCTCATTCAAATGGTGATTCCTGTGTCAGGATCTGGGAAATTGTGTGCAGCCTTGTGCATTGGTGGGTATCTGCAGGGTGATTTACAGGCACCTCATGTCAGGATGATCTCTGCCTTCAGACTGGCCACAGCAGTCAGGACATCCCTGGCAACCCTGCCCCATTTCCAGCTGCCTCCAAAGACAGGTCACAAGTGAGGTCCAGCTGCCCAAAGGAGTCCAGTTCCACAGGAAATGACATTAACAACTGCGATGTGTCTGTGGGGACATCATGGGATGGCGAATATGGCCTATGGGAACCCTTCTGGAACAGTAGCCAAGAGCTGGTTGGGATCCCCTGGGATGCTTTAATGGCACAAAAGTCCTGATTATGGGACTGAACAGCATCCATGTGGTATGTGCCAACGAGGAATGGTGGGAAAGAGGGGCTAGAAGCTGCTTGGATGAGGCAGATAAGTTGAGGATCAGCCTCTGCTTGATGAGGAGCAGTGAGATGCCAAACCCTGGGAGCACTTCATGTTTTGATGGGTGTAGAGGTAGCTCATAAGACCATGAGTGGTCCTGGCTCTTGCTGCTCTGTGATGAGGACAGACTGTCTAGGCTCAGTGCTTTTAGTAAAGACATTTTTAAAAAGCCTTTCTAATTCATGTGATTTGTAGAGGTTGAGTTTGAAAATGTGTGCCATGCCATTTCACCACAGACTGACCCACCAAACCCCCTGCCAGCAAGGGGCTTCAATGAGATGATCTTAGCGTAAATCTGTGTTTATACTGGTAACGCTTCACCTGTAAATCTCCAGTTACTGGAGAGGGTCAGTTACTGGCAGCTTTACACCTCAACATGAAAGAGATTTTTGGTGGTTTTCAGGCAGCTTGAGAGCCCTGTGGTTCACCTGAGTGGAGAGAAGTAGATATGAACATGAGTGTCTACACTCCTAGGGTTTGGCACTAATGCTTTTTAGGGATGTTAGAACACAACCAAATGCAGGAGGTTCCCCAAGGCAACTGGCTCAGCTGTTCTTTGTGGTCTTCACATCCCTTTCCAAGTATTGCTTTAGCAAGAGCTCCCCCTCCCTTAGCATCCATGGCAATATACTGCTCAAAGCCATGTGCACTGTAAAAGCAAAGATCCCAAACCTGATTTTTCAAGTTGCTGTAGAAAATGTCTTGATTTGGGTCGATTTGCTGACCTAAGCATATGCCACAGGGGAGCCTAAGCAGCTGTTTGGAAATATGTCCTCAACTGCCAGGCAATCTTGCTCAGATTTAGCCAACCGAGGCCAGATTTAATCTCACTTTGGAAGAGTATATATTCATGCAAATTCTATTACTGACATTTTAGTCCTTCTTGATTTAGATAATTGAATTTCAGTTTTCTCTGCTCCCTGGATTAGTCCCTCAAAACCTCTGGCATACTGGTGGGAGTGAGAGTGATGGAGATCATTTGGTGGAGGCTCTCTCCATCCCCTGGGGTTTTGTGAGTGCAAGCAGATTTTGAAGAGAGGGACAGAAACACAGCGGATTTCATCCTTCTCTTCCTGTAATTCTCATGAAGGTTGACAAAATGGCCATTTCGTCACAGCCCACAGTCAATCATC